CCGGAAAGCCAGCTGGGCCAAGTGTTGTGGCACCCAGACCCAACTCTGAAAAGCCCTGCTCCTCAACTTGTGTCTTCAGACTAAGCATCTATGACCTCTGAAATTCCCACGCAGAAATCTCATTCTCAAAGCAAGACGTCTGGGAGGTGATTAGGTCACGGGAAAGAGTGTCCATGGGGTTAATACTCGAGGGAGCTTGTCTGTCCCATCTGCCACGTGAGGACATGTGAGGCACAGGTAGGTGCTGCTGGCAAACCTGACCTCCTCCAGACACCAAACCTGAACCCCAGTCTTAGAACCAGAGCAATCAACTTCTGTTGTCCACAAGCTACACTGCCTATGGGCAGGCTGGCCAAGGCTGAGGCTGTGCATTCTGGGCAAGTTATTTCATAAATCTGTTGCTGTTGTAAGCCAGGGGTTCTTGTGAGGATGGCATGAAAGGCCACATGAAGGTCCAGCCTAGGGCATAGTTGGTGCCAGGAAATAATAGTCACAGCCCCTCAGACTCTGCCCATGCCAATGACACCCGCTCCCTGTTCTACAGCCCCAGAGGGACATCTCAATACCAGGGGGCTTGGGTCACACCTGGGTTTTTCAGAGGAGGTGAAAGCAGATGCCAGTACGTACAGAAACAAGCCTCCTGTGGTAGACCCAGTGACGAAAGAAGCATTGCTGACAGCTAATATCGAGAGAAGTAGTTCAAGACCAGAAACCGGCGGGCCATCTCTTTCCAGCAAGAGGAAATGTGTAGGCACACTGAGCAGCTCCAATCACCATCCAGGCCCTCAGAGAGCCCTTCTCCGGGCTAGGAGGGTGCCAGCAAGAATGAGCAGACAGGCTTTCTCACCGTGAGAAGAATGTCCCAGAAAGGATGGGCAAGGAGTTCACCTCAGCTCTCCCACTATGTCCCTGACTGACCACCTACTTCCTGCCCACTTGACCATCCTGTGGGGCTCAGCTCAGGCTGCAGCTCTGGGAACCAGCTGACAGAGCTGCTTGGCTCATGGCTGAGTGCTGGCAGGCACAGCGACGGACTCAGCACCTATGAGGCCAGAAGTACCAGGCAACCCCTGCACAGACAAGCTGCACAGGAGAGCGGGAAGCCAGAGCTCTCATCCCAGAGTCCCTCACATACTGTGGGATGCGGGGAAGGTCTATGACCTCAAAGTAAGGGGGTGTTATTCAAATTAGGGATAATTCCCTCTCCAAGAGGGACATGAAGCAGACAAAGGCCCCACTAGGAGCCCAACACAGGGAAGGTCCCTAAGCCAAAGCTATTATTTAATCAGGTGAAAGTTAAGTACATCTCTCGGGGATGACATTGCCGAGTGTCCTACAGAGGCTAAAGGGGAGAGATTCCAGAACGTGCATGCTGCTGCCTTCATTTATACGCAGGAAAACTGGGCTCCTCAGACGGGGACAGATGCAAGGTGGGCACTCAGCATCCTGTGCTTCTGTGCCATGGGGCACAAACACGCTCATAGGACCCAGCACAGGGTAAGTGACCGCTCTGTCAAACAGGTCTCCAGGACGAAGAACCATGTTTGTACTCTCCCCGTCCAAGGTCTCGCCTATTATTTCCTGGGGCTCCTCTAGTGACATTCCAGGCATTCTGCAGAGGAAAACTGTAAACAATGGATTTTCCTCTCCTGCCCTCTCTTTCCCACGGTTTTCAGAACAAACCCTCTTCTCCCCAGCACGGACCCACGCAAGCAGCACAGTGCCTTCTCACGCCTTTGCGGCACCCCCCTCCCCCGGCGGGTCTGCAGAATGGATGGGAAGATGGTGTGGGGGTGCAGCTTCCAACCTGTGCAACAAATCAGGAGATCTTTGGTACAGCCCAACCCAAGGAGGTGGGTGCTTTAGATGCAGACAGTCCCCAGTTCAGGTCTCCGGACGATATTCTCTACACTGACAGGCTCACTGCAGTTTTCAAAGGAGAAGTGTTAAAGTCCTGTTCAAAGACTCCAAGAGGTGTGGTCAAAGGTTCCCAGGGACTGTGACTCAGGGGCAATTAGCATCGCCAACCCCCTCCACACAGGTTATCTCTTAAGCCTCTATAATGTTCATCCTTTTATGAGCTGCCATTTAAGTAAGAGGCGGGGCTGTGTGTGTGTTTGTTATTAAGAATGGAGATGATCCTCTGCTTTGTTGAAAAAGAAGCTGGGGAGTGGCTGGCGCTGCCCTCCCTGTCCTGAGGCAGCTGCTGCCCCTCAACAGTTTGCACACCAGCGTGATGAAGACTGAAAAGCCAGAGCCCAGCAAATGGAAGCTCTCCATTTACATCTGACTGGCGGAGAGCTCCTGCCACTTTGTGCTGGGCTGCCATCCTGCTCTAAAGCTTACCTTTACCTTTTTAGACAGGACTCAACTCGTTCACAATGTGGGCCACACTTCAGACTACACGATGAGGTTCCAAAGCATCACGGCCAAAACCAGCGGTGCACTGGGATATACATCTAGTATGGACGACCCAGGCTTCTATTCACAGTACATCAAGGCCTCAGAGCTTTCCAAAGTCATTCCCCAGAACAGAAGAGCCCCAAGTCAGTCCTGATGGAGCCCATCTGAACATACAGGCCTACTTAACACCTCATCCCACTTTCTGACTCCTCGCTTCAAGCATGGGGTGGTAATGAAATGGTTCTGAGTTTGGCTGTTCTGAAGACAACCTTGTATTCATGGGAGAATAAATAGAGTAACTGGCTTAAAGCCTAAAGGGGATATGCAGGATAGGATATGTTTCAAAGGATGAAAACAGCAAGTGTCTCCACTTACCCCAAACATGGCATTACTGACTTACAGTATTCTCCGTGTTATGGGGAAACCATACACGAGGGACCCAGTGGTCCTCAGTTCCTGCCTGGGTCACCTTTGGATCTAACTGACCAGGAAGGAAGCAAGAGCAAAGGACAAAAGGAATGGGTCACATAGCCTAAAAAATGAAGATGATTATAAGAAGTAAATTCACAGTGCCAGTTGGGAGTCTCCACAGGACGGATGCTATGTCGCCTGTCTACGTTTTGTCTCAGCTGGAACAGCCATTCTAGATGTGAGACCATCTTGGAGGAAGTCGTGTGTAACCAAGGAGGGAAACCACAACATGCTTCCAGATCCCGGTGCTCAGCGTCCTCCAGAGTAACTGCCTGCTGCCTCCACTGCCCTTTGAACCAGTGTACAGTCGCCAGATACAGACCATTGAACACCTGATTCCAAGCCGATAGAAAGGAGGCTGTGTCCTGTTTTTGTGTGGTGTGACTACTCAACTGTCTCAAGTTTAATATGGGGCTAGACAGATGGTTCAGTGGAAGTAAACAGCTCCCAGGAGCTGTCAGAGGACTGGGCAGGAAATCCTGGAAGATGTACCAAGGACCACGAAAGTGACCTTCCCCTGTGCATGCCTTAATGATATGTTTGAGTTATAGATCTACAAAGTGTTGGGTATTCAGCCACTTTCCATCCAACTAGGGATGAGTTTGTAAAAGTGATATGGAAAGTGCCTTTTCATTTTGTGTTATCACACAAAACGGAGGAAGGGGCACTGAAGTCTCAGAACTGCGGACAGTTCTCTGGCTCTTCCACCTTAACTCAAGACAGTCACCCACCATGCCCCTCTCAGGCCAGCATCTAGACAGACTCAGTGGAGAGCATGAGAGGGGAAACACCATCCCTGTCAGCCCTCAGCGAAGGACCCAGTCCCATGAAAGCTGCCCTGCTCTGCTCCCCGGCCCAAGGCATCCAGCTGTTTAAAACTAACTAAACCTTGGGACTGCATATACTTTCTAAATCAGTGGTCTGCTTCTTTGGCAGGAAGAAAAAAATTCCATCCATTTTTTTTTTTTTTTTTTTTGGTTTTTCGAGATAGCTTTGCGCCTTTTCCTGGAACTCACTTGGTAGCCCAGGCTGGCCTCGAACTCACAGAGATCCGCCTGGCTCTGCCTCCCGAGTGCTGGGATTAAAGGCGTGCGCCACCACCGCCCGGCTCCATTTTTTTTTTTTTAAACCACATCAACATTAAGACCAAAACATTATTTTCAGTTACAAGGCATTTGCTTCCTGAGTGAGGGTGAGCCCAGACCGAGGCTCCATCCTTGCTGGGGATGCCTCCAGCCAGGCTGTGAGTGCTCAGCCTGCAGGTCCCAGCTCTATTCTTGGTCCCTCTGTAGACAGAGTAGGCCATCAGGAAGATAGGGTCAGGCCAGGAGAAGCCGTGGACCTTGAAAGTGACTACCCACAGTACCTAGTGCATGGTCTAAAGGGAGTTGGCTCTGTAGACTTGTCAGGGGGGAGGGCTGAAGCCTAAAGACGGCCAGAGCAGGGTCGTTCAAGCACTACCCAGGTCTAAGGATGGAGCCATTTGGTTCCTGTGGGGCCATTTCTATCAGGCTATGTCTCTTGTCAGGCTTTAAACTAAACTTCCCATCAGAGGTGGTTCCATCTCCTCTGGTATAATGGGGACACACACCGAACAGTATCCATGTGGACAGGTACCCTGAGATTGGTTCTGGCCCCCAGTGACCTCCACATCTAAACTTGAAGGCGCTATTTAACTCCTCCTAGGAGAGAAAAGCTGTGGGCAAGTGTTAAGCAATCAGGAAGGAAACCCAGAAGTACCAAAGGGTCATTCTGCACTGACTGACTCTTCTTACCCATGTGCTGACGTCCCTTCCCCAGCCTGGGAGAGGTGGCCTTAGAATACAAGCATAGAGTGAACTGAGCTGTCTCGTGTCAATACTCATACAGGAGAAGGGGTCGAACAGGTGAACGGAAGATTCTGCTGGAAATTTCCAACACCCAGTTATTTCAACCCTCAAAGCTCCCCCAAGCCTGCAAGAGCTCAAGCAACAGAAACACTTCCGGGACACACACAGCTCAACCCACTCTGTTTACCCTTAGACATCATAAAAACCAGTGAGGCATAAAACACAGTCAAGTGGGCTGGGGACTGTCCAAGAGCCAACTCTGTCCCCTACAGCTGGTGGCTCCTGATATTTGGTTACCTGGTTCTTCTGGGGCTGGTGGAGCGCTGACCTCAGGCTCTGGGGTGACTTCAGGGGGTGGTGGGGGTGGGGCCGGTGGAGCTTTGACAGGGGTCGTTGACTCAGGGGTCTCAAAGGCTTCCTCAGAGTCGGAACTCCTGGCGGAGAGAGAGAGAGATAAGAAACACAGGTAAGCCAGTGCCAAGTAGAGATTCTGCTGAGAAGGCATGGCCTTCTAACTCTGCAACACAGAGAGTTGGGGCAAACACCCAATTCAACTGCTGAGACAGGTGTGAAGGTCACCTCGAAGCATGATTCCCAGGAACTTTGACACTCGTTAAGACCAGATAATATATTCTGAACGTAGCTCAACTTGAAAGACACATGTTCACCTTAGTGACAAATTCACACACACTGCCTGGGCTTTTGGATGCATTTTGGTTATACTACCTGGCACTGAGTCAGTCTAAGGGATAGAGAGACTGCTTTTACTGTTCACCACGATGAATCCAGCCCACCTCTAGGAGCTTCATCTCATAAACTCAGTTTGCATTCACTCTCTCTCCACCCAGCCTGCCATCCTTTCTCCTCCCTGCCTTCCCTGTGCTTCTAGATGTTTACTGGTCTCTTCTGTGGGGCTGGAATCGCCATGCAGATAGGCTGGCCTGTTTTTCACTGTACCCAGGGCCTAAGATGGAAGGCGATGCATGACAATCTATAGAGTAAAGGAGAGCCGCAAAGTCGGTCAGTGGAGGATATGCAGACCAAGGGACAAACAACAGCCAGCCACTCTTCAGTGGTGTGGTGACAGCTCTCGGTGGTACCTAGGGAAGTCTACCTGCAAGGAAGCCTCTTCCTGCAGAGACCTGGGCCAAAAGCCCACCAAGGAAAGTTTCTCTCGGTAACAAGAAGTCGGTGGCCAAGCCTTCTTCCTGCTTCTCCAAGCTACTTGATCTCAGCCAGAGGAATGGGGAACTGAGTTCTAAGTTCTCCTGCTGCCTACAAGACACAGAGCAGCAGTCCACTGCCCCGAGATGATCACAGGACCAAGGCCACCCTTACTTGTGAGGGCAGCCTCTGTGGAGAGCAGCAACACGCTGGCTCCCATTTCAGAACAGTTCCACTGCACCCAAATGCCAACTGATCCCTGGCAAGGACGGAGGAGGCTAACCACCAGGATGGTGGCTACACAGGACTGCACATCAGGACTGCTGAGGATTTATAATCAGGTCATGTCTCGGCAGGAGACAGAACACGGCATGTCCGGATTCAGTGCACTAGGTCACATGGGTATCACTGAACATGAGCCTCCTCCAACACTGTGAGAGGTTCACAGCCATTCAAGCTCCACAGGGTCACAGGACCAGTGACCTTGGAAGATGGTGACCTCTTCTAAAGACCACCAGCCGGCCAGCAGAGTATCAGCAAGCAACAAACCCCTCTGCTGTCCATTAGGACCCAGGAAATGAGCCATTTGGCGAGTTCCCTTTAGAACATCTACATCAAGGCTGGAGATGCAGCTGACTTGGTAGTTATTGCCTAACATGCACAAAACCACGGGTTTAACCCTTAACATGACATAAACCAGGCATAGTGGTCTGAGCCTGTACAATGTTAGCACTAGGGGTTGAGGCAGGAGGATCAGAAGTTCAAGGTTATCTCCAACTGTGTATCATGTTTGGGACTCAAAGAAATCAGCAAAAACATCAGAGCTGCTTTTGATGAGACCCAATGAGCTAAAGCCAACTTTGTATTCGATTTCACTAGTAAATACTCAATTCTCACAAACACAACATGGAACATGCTGATTTCTTTTACACTCACATATTAATGTTAAGGGACTCAGCTTTTGTCTCCGGGGAAAATTTAAGTTCCATCCGCACTTGGACAGCAACCGATCTTGGTAGGTGAAGTTTTCAGAGTATGAAAACACAGGGAGGTTACACAAACTAAGGTAAGGGTAAAGGGGAATGAATGTTCTGATCACCTTGCTAGGCCTGGGATGTAGTCCTGGGAAACAACTTCCTCACCCCAGCACCCATACCATAAACATCAGGGACAGCCATGACAAAACACACCCAGTTAACTTGCCTCTTTCTGGAGCTTCCCTGGGCAGCTAGCAGCCCGGAGTCCTCACTGCCGCTCACCGCTGCCCACATCCAACGGGCCCATTCCACTGGGGGCCACATCTGCCAGGAGTCAAAAGTCATCTCCATGGAAAAATAGCCCCAGTTGCCACCTATAATATTCTTGCTCCTATCTCTTTCATGACATCACCAAAAAAGGAAGCTGCCCCGGTCTCCCAGCAAGGAATGCTGTGAGCTGAGCATCTCCTGTGTTTGGAGGCCCCAGGCTGCCTTTTCAAGCCGAGATACAGAGAAAGAGAGAGAGAGAGAGACTAAAAGTTGCTTCTGCAACCCTGGGCACTGGCAACTCAAGGCTTTGGAACACAAAGGGCCCTGGTCTTTCTGAGTAGCACAAGTGACAAGGAGGGGCCGGATGCTCTTGCATCCTAGCTGTGAATTCCAATGAGGTTTCAGACGCAGCAGCTGCCAGCCTGCACACCTGCTCAGAGGACCGCATTCACCCGGGCCTGGGGTGTGCAAGGAATGAGGACACCAGGCTCATTGTGCCTCATCGTCTTTTTACTATGAACTGTGTGCATCCAAACACCACAGGCCACTGCGGGCCACTTCTGGTGCTGCTGGCCTTGTTTGCATATTTCCACACTTCCTCCCAGGAGCAGAGAGCAAGTTAATTAGGGGAGGCAGATAGCAGCTTTTAAAATTCGCTCTTTCCTCCGCGTTCAGCTTCCCAGGGGCCTAAAAACTCTTCTGAGAGCGAGAATTTCTGCAGTCCGCCCACTAAGAATCTGTGCACAAGAATAAAGCAGCTGGGTGGAGTTCCAGCGTGAGTCCCGCTGCTCAAGACCCACCGCGCTGTGGCTGTTGGTTTGTTTGCCTTTTTACTAGCAAAGCACAAATAATTACACAGCTGAGACTCCACACACTTTCAGAATGGAGAAAAAGAGGAAATTAATTTGTCACAAATATGTATCAGAAAGAGAAATGGTGTCACAATTTACTAAAACCCCTCCAAATTTCAAGAAAATGTTTACCAGGACATGAAAATGTTATGTTTACCAGGTAAGTAAATACAAGAGTATAATATGTATGTATGTATGTATAAATATAAGACATTAAACACAAGAGTATAATATACACATACATATAACACACACACACACACACACACACACGTGCGCGTTTCTATATGGAAAGTACAACAGCCAGCATTTGTGGAACATTCAGTTATGTATCAGACAGCAGCCTAGGTCTATTGTGTACGTACATTTATCTGTCATCTTCAGAACTGTGGGCTGGGGATATAGCTCAGTTGGTAGAGTGCTTGTCTAGCATGCATAAGGCCCTGGGTTCAATCCCCACCACTGCATGTATTAGGCTTGTTTCACAGATAAACCACAGCCTAGAGAAGCAAGCTGTTTTGCAAGGCTCTGCAGCCAGCAAAGGAGAAGATCAAAGCTCCATTCTCAAATCATCAACCCCTGACGCTGTGTCTCCACCACATCTACGGCTTCCCAGCATCCTTAGCAAGCACAGTTTTTACGTTCTCGTTATATACAGTCTATCACAGAGAACAAGTAAGCGGTTTAAATGAACTTGCAAATGAGACCCTGAGGGTGAGGGGTACCAGCGCTATCCTTGCTGATCTTTCTCCTGTTCACACCATGTTAGGGAAAGTCCCCTACGTATCCAAAGGAGTGATTACTAACAGCCCTGCATGTTTAACGGTCTATCCTGTGATGGCTGGGTTCTCTACAAGGCAAATAGACAGCCACCTAACTGCACAAGCCAACTCATCCACCAGCACGAGGCAATATTTGGGGGAATACTCAACACCACAATGGGGTCTGAAGACGAGGAGAAAGATGGAAATGACAGATTGTCCTGGTTATGGAAACCAGGGCCTGCAGGGCTCTCCAGCTGTGTTAGTATAGTTTAAAAACATTTCTTAGAGTTGGGGGATGTAGTTCAGTGGTAGAGCCTTTGCTTGCCTGGCATGCTCAAGGCTTGGGGTTCAAGTTCTAGCTACACACACACACACACACACACACACACACACACACACACACACACACACGAGCATCTAATGTGAACCTCTACAATGCTTTAAACTCTAACCAAGCAGTCTACAAATCCCTGTTCCACACAGTATGAAATAAAGAACTCCAGTGACATGCTTCAGTAATTGTCCCGCAAACAAGAGTCAGGTAGAGGGAAAAATGGACTACAAGGGCTTATTTCCCTACATTTGTGGCTTAGTTTAAACTTCATGTTTTTACTTGTCAATTTATAACAAAATAGTCTCAAGATCAGGAGCCACAGATACATCACACACATACATTAAATACAAATGTATCCATGACACATGAATGTGTATTCACATAACTGAAACATGGGTGTTTTTAAATGAAGAGGTACTACCGTTTTACAACATGCCATTAACTGGTTACACTTTGCTCAAGTTTTACCGAGATTCCAAGGGGCTTTGTTGGACAAGGGCCTGGGGCCCCAAGGAAACAGCCATGCACTGCAGTGTTTCAGCAACACAGAGCATTTCACTTCTACAGAAGGCTGCATGGCTGCTTTAAATCCAGCAGGCAGGCACACCTGAGCACACCCAAGGTCCTGCTGGGCTTCCACTCATAGTGCCAACCGATCCTGTGCCTCACTCTGGGTGGTCAGAGCCTGGCCTCACATTCTTCTCCAGCTGGCTAACTCTAAGCCTGGCGGACAAGCCAAGTGTAACTTTCGAGGGCAGGATGCACCATGGAGCGCTACTTCCATCTTAGAAAACTGTCAACTGGGGAAAGAATTTTTGGCAGGTGGTCTCTTTATTAATTTCTTTTATTGTTTGAGACCAGGCTGCCCTCAAACTCACAGAGAGGTGGGATTAAAGGTGTGTGCCACCACGTCCAGCCCTCCTAATTATTTCATTTGGCCCTTTGACAGAAAAGATGGAATGCTGCAAGGTATCTGACTACACTGTGCAAAGATATGTCACTGTGACTGGCTTAATAAAAAGCTAAATGGACAATAGCTAGGCAGGATTTGGGGGGCAGAGAGATCGCTGGGAA